GTTCGATTTTTAGGGAAAAATTCGGGTTTATTTTGCCGATAAAAAAAAACTAAGTCACTTAAAAAAAAATTCTACGACAAAGACTAGATAATTATGTATAGAATAACCTCTATAAATTTCAAATTGATCGGTTCAGTGGTTGCCGAGATATTTTGGTCACCGATTTTTAAAATGGTTTTGAGAAAAACGCGTTTGAAAATTGAACGATGAATAAATCGCGAAAATTTTTCAACTTACATAGAATCATCGATTCCAGGTCCATAATATGAGTCCTCCACCTTGCTTGGAATGCAAAAATTGAATAATCAATTTTTTCGAACTTTCTAATTGGGTATTCCCCCTTAAAAAAGACGTTACGACACAAAATTCCAATTAATCGAACAAGGGACAACAATGGTTCTCGGACTTCTCGGATGTGCGATAATTGGTTTCCGATTTTATCGCGCGTATCACGCGATATTCTGCAATCTGATATTCAGTAAACGGAGATCCAAAAATCGACACGATCGATTTCTCTTTCGTGTAACTACATGCAGTGCATAAATAAGCTTATCGTATGAGTGAATTTTTATGTATTTTGATGTTAAATGTGAGGCACGTGTTTCCACTTTGCATCCTTTAGGTTAAAAAAATGGGTTTGGTAAAAAGTCGACGAGTACGGTCGCCTCGCGTGGCGTTTCCCTGAGACGAGATACCGACGCGATCGATATCGCGGTTAATGACCCAGAAAATGCCGGATTATTTTACAATGCGAACGCTGTTATACACGGACGCGGGACGACGCGAATCGATAGATAATGTCTTTATTACCGTGATGGCGCGATCGGGAGAAGAACGACCGAACTTTGCTGCGCCTGACCGTATTAATATTTATCACGAGACGAATACATCTCTTTTTTGTGCCAGCCTTTCTGCCCCATTTTTCTAGCGTCTCCGTGTTACGCCATTGCCTCGTAGCGTTATGAGTGAAATTCTATTCTTGTTTGGGTTATCGGCCGCGCCTTTTATCGTTCGTCCGCATAGTGCCGGTGATGCGTAGCACTCTTTTCACAACGATCGTATAGCATAGCAGAAAAAGAATCGGGAGAGATAAGAAATGTCGCATAATACGTAGTGCGTCGTGCAAAGAGTACATTGCGCTCGATCCCACTTTCGAGTCTGTATTTCCTCGAATCTCGATTACGCGGTTTGATAAGATCCGAATTGCGTTCCTAAACGACCTCGCGGGCAAATATTTGAGAAGCGACGCGAACAGTTGCGATGATTATTTTTGGGTGCGCAAATCATGTGCGGATTTTAGACGAAGTACGAGGCTGCGGCTGGATTCCACCTGTGCCTAGTCGGGCCGAACAAAATGAAGGAATTAAGTATATAGAAAGATACTCAAATTCGAGTAAGCTCTCTTTGTCGATCGCGTCTACCTATAACTATTCAGAGAGATGCATATGTTTCCATCTTTTAACCCTTAACTCGCAAACCTGGGTCGTTTTCGTCCGGGCGAAAATCAAATGTAGTTGTATAACTTTTAAATACAAATTATTTGAAAAAATTAAATTGTTTATAATTTTATGATTGATATTTCAAAGTGAAGCTTTGAAACACCTTCATTTGCGGCGTAAAGGTGCCAAAAAAACGTTTGCAGGTTAAGGGTTAAACATACTTAATTCAGTAAATATGAATAGCAATTAATTATTTATAGAAATATTTTCAGGAGGCAATAATTTCCAAAATTGATTATAAATTCCGGATTGGAATTTAAGACAATAAAAAACGACAGTCCGCTTTTGTATATAAAAGCATGGTTTATTTAAGCTTGCCGGTTGCAGACTAATAAATCCTAGACCGGACGATCGTGTCTGCGCGTAAACGCCGCGAGAGCCGGAAAACGAACGTCGTCTAAAATTAGAAACCTATGTTGCGTAGGCGCCTTAGCTAAAATGATGTCGTGAGGGTGAGGTAAGGACGAACCGATCGGCGCATATCTCCTCCAGCCGTATCTCGTCGCAACAGTTGCACTCATTATAGTCGATAACGACTGCAACACCTGTTCCTTGTTGTTCAACGGTTAAAATTAGAGTAGATTGCATTTTTCGGCATTATCACCTGCTCGCCGAGCATACGTCACGATAAAGCCGGTCGATTTGATCGAACGACTGATTTCCCGAACCGCAAACACGATGTTGCAGGTGCCGCTCGAAGCCGACTTCTTTGTCAGTTCAAACTGCTAAACCAGTTAAACCAGCTAAATATAACGATAGACCGTCGTTTTTCACTGTCTAGGAGTTCCACAAATGTGGTCGATATTACTGTCTCCTAGAAACGTTTCACGTAAAAATAAATAATTGCTTTATATACAATTCACAGTCGCATTCAAAAGACGAAAGCTTGCGTCTCTCTGAGCAGTAGTAGGTAGCAGGTAGCAGGTATATGCGGTTGACAGAGGGTTAGTTCGTTCGAGCCTACATTCTTTTGTTCGGGGCCTGACTCCCTAAGCCCAAGCCCAAGAGAGATTCTCAGATTCTCGATATACTCGACACGATTATCATAGGTTTTAATTACCTGCGTTTTCCTATGAATTGGGTCCTCCTCAATATGGCAAGCGGCGTTAAATAAAAATATCAGTGCTCATTGATAACGCTCGCAGTCGCTATTGAGGCTATTCATTGATACTATTTTTCACTCGACAATCGGCCACGTTTCGCCTGATACTCGCTAACTCGAATGACGTTGACACCGGTAATAGACAGCGCGTATTACAGACGCAGTCTCTCGCTCGATGTGTGACGCAACAGCACGATCGCGCAAAAAGCGGTAGCGTGTGCATGCTCACGCGGTGGAAGGATGCACCGCTGATTTACTTTCAATTTTGCCGTGCCGATCCTCGTGACTGGCTCGATTTTAACCAGCGCGGAAAACGTTTCCGCTTTCGAGGCCGCTCCCTGAGATGTCTCAACGTGTTAGCCATGTGTATAACGAATTCCTTGTAATTCTCCGGAAGCAATCTCTATTCGGTTGTTTCTCAACCGAGAAATATTACATAGCTACCGTAAGCATTTTTAATTCCAGTACATTTTGCGTGCTCACAACGTAATGACTTATTATAATACTGCGAAATATCACAACTTTAAAGTCACAACGATCTGTTTACGATCTGAGGCTGGCTTCGGTAACTACGCAGATCCGAAGTTCTTGGTTGGTCGGTTTGTAAACATTGCGCCGTATAAACGTACGAGAAAACATTTACTTTAACAAACGCGATTAGCATACTCCGAATGTTTACCGCGTAAATCACCGTTTGATTTCGTTGCGATTTTCACCCGTGCTTCGGAAAGAAAGTGTACGTGCGTGTGTACATGTGTGTGTGTGTGTGTGTATAGGAATAAAGGAAAGTACCACCCTGTGTATACTCTCGATCCTTTGATTACCACGATAAATCGTCATGCCACCATAGCAATTAAGCCTTGTCGATCTCGTTTGCGTTCTTTTGCTTTTGCGATGCGGATGACAACCATCCGGCAGGCATAACGAAGCCAAGTATTGTGATATCAATTACCAGAGCCGTTTGTCTGTTATGATACAAGTTTATTGAATCACTGCTTGCGCAAATTAACAATGGCAATGGGCCAGGTTCCAATGTCGCATATTTTCCAAAGTACCAAAACTTCTCCCATTCATGTTTTGTTTCAAATATTCGCATAGTTTTTTTCAGTATGATGGTGATATGACAATAATAATAGTAATAATAATAATAATAATAATAATAACGATAATAGTAATAATAATCCAAATAATTAATAATATAATAGTGTAATAATGATAATAATATACAATAATAACGGGATATGTGCGCTAATTGCGATAATAGTCAAGAGATATAACAAGTAAAATATACATATGTTCTTATGTATGTATATACGTAATCATAATATATACATATTATGATATCGCATTGTAAATCGCGAAACCAATTTTCCCATTCGTTAAATAAAACAATACGAATCGCGTAAATTTCCTTTGATTAAGTGATATGGCTTGTTCAGTGACAAAAATTATTTCCGCCTCGCTCTGTCTTGTCCCGACTCCAGTCCCTTCTTGTTCCCGATGGATGTTTTCCCCTAACGCGTTATTCAATATCAAATCTTTTCTAATTATCTCTGTCTGCGGTAATTAACTAATAAATTTTATATGTATTTATAATAGCAATATATATACAATGCATGACCCTCAACGGTAAATGTGCGTAATAGGTATAGTATCTATGCGAATGCAACCTTTTGTGACAAAAAAAGCCGTCGGTCCTTTTTCTAAGCTGGAACATACAACTTATTTCGTACCTACGCGTCTTTTTTCCGGTTCTTTCTTCTACGTGACCCTGTCCTCCTTAAGGATACTCGTTTCCTGTTACGCTGGCTTTACGTTTGACATGTCTATTCGATACTTGTCTTAGTTTAGCGTCCTTTCTTAGAATATAATATCGGAGAGAAATTCTTTAATATCGACAAACAACCACATTACAGGTACAAACGTGTATCGCGAGATAGATGCCAGACGTAAACCCAGCATTGCGAATCTGACAATCCTATAAACGTTCATCCGACTTGTTCAGCGGACAAGAATGCTTTTTTCTTTTGTGCTCTTCGCAGCTTCAATATAGATAGCGTTGAAAATATCATCCCGCTCTGCATCTCAATCGAACGCTTTATATCAACTTCGAATCACGTGCTCGCGCGTGAACCAAGATTTTCGGATTCGGAGCATAATTTGAACGCGATTGCGTATGCCATGTCGCCGATCAAATTTACCCTCGCGGAAGTACACTGGCTACGTCATTGGCACTGTCAAAGCAGAGGAATAGGAGAGAAGCTTAGTTTCGCTATATGAACAAGAGCGAGATTCTTCGAGTTAAAAGACGATCTCGACTTTCGGTGGTCCTCGCTTTCCGGCCAACTTGCATCCGAGAGCGCGCGAGAACGTTATCGCGTAATGTGAGAACAAAGTCTGCAATCGCAATCGGCGTTTACACGATTATTTACAAATTTATCTAGAGATATACAAGCTATGCCCTCGAGGCTAGAAAAATTACGGTCGCTCGAGCGCAGGAAGGCCGATCGTCGATCTATCGCGAAGTCATGGGAGAGGGAACGCGGGATATAACTCTCGCGATTTGTGCGTTTTCGCGAAATATGAGATAAACGTCGGCGAGCCGCCGATATTGCGGATTAAAGAGCGTTTCATACTAGTTTTACGTTTCGAATAATAGTCACCAGATGATCTCGAATAATAACCAGTTGTCTCCTTCCGCCAGACATCTCATATTTAATCTGCCCCTAATTTCGTCACTCGACGCACTCGACAGACACTCGTTGATAAGAGTCGCTGTTTATATGTACAGAGATTGCGATTTTGCGTCTCGATGAACGATGTTATCGTGATCACGTGCGACGCGATTGTTGCGATGTGAGTCACTCGCGTTTTCAGCGTTAATATTTTTCTTAGATGTAGAATGTAAAACGTTTCAGGGGAAACAACTCTTCGCGTCGACAAACAACAAGCGCGTCAACCTTCGATCTCTCATCGAAAGCTAATTCGTATTCGTAGCGAAAACGTTTTTCTCAACTTGTGCGGTTCATATCTGGTTGACACAGTTCACTATCGGGGAACTCCGTAATCTAGACGCAAGACGGTTCGCGACGGATTTCAAATCTCAACTGTCGATATTCAACGACAGTAATTGTAACTATAATCCCGCGGGGCTCTCGTAAAAGTTCGAGGACTATAAGAACTTTCTATGTGTCTCTTCTGTTTACAGTAAATCTTACGACTTACTAGTTTATCGTAATCGTCGTGGAACGCTATAAATGCTCGGATGCGCGTTAACGAATCTTTACATCGCGCGCGTCGGCACTATGGCTACAATTACAATCATTGCTAAATTGTAATAATCGCTACTTTTTAGGGAAATAGCCGTAAGTACGATTCGGATAATTCGACCGTGATCGAATGCCGTTTTGAATCGAATAGCGCCAGCCTTAATTAAAAGTGCTCAGCAAGCGGTTAAATCGTTCAAAAGTCGATCGTGTACAATTTCGATCGTCGCTGTTACTGCGCTCGAGCCGATCGTCAGAAAAGAGAAAATTATGACTAGAGAAGAAGATTCGTATGTCGGATACGATCGATCGGCGGCCCGCCCGAGAGGGCTCGACCTACTCTTACAAGTAGCGTTATTAAAGTATTTGGTGTAAAAATAGGTATGATACACAGGCGTTGGGAGTGCGCAACGCGCTCCCCGTTTCCAAAAGACGTGTCGATGTCTCCTTCTCGCGCAAACGACAAACTGCGCCCAGGAGTTTCATCGTATTTTTTTTTCTCAAAAATTTTTGTCCAATAAATATCAGCCTGTCAATTAAAAAGGATTTAAGCGACAAATCTCTAAAACGTTTTATCAAAAAATCTTGCCACAGACAGGTCAAAGACTCTCGATGCAATCGTCATTTAAACTACTCTTGCAGCTCTCCTCTCTTTTTCTTTCTTTATCTCTTGACGCTGAAATCCTTTTTAATTTACAATATTCAAAGGCGAATCCGCCGTAGATCCCCGCAACACCTCAGAGGAACGTTTTCGTCTTGATGTCGCTCCCTCTGTTTCCTTGACTACTTATCGTTACGATCCTCGCAATCTCTCAAAATTCAATTACAGTTGCCTTCGCGCGACAAAATCCCCGCTGAGGCTTGATCCTCTTCGAGTTCCCTTCTCGCGTCGGTTCCGATTCAAATATTCCCCCTCGTAGCATAGCACCGGCGGCGCGTAAGACCGAGTGAATCGCTCGTGAAAGCCGTTCCCGGCGATTCTTGGTGCGGCCACACCACCGTTTTCCTTCGAAATTCTGGCTCGGTGACGACCCAAAGCGTCGCGGCGCCACCGGGTCTCAGGTCACGTCCACGTTCACGAGTCCGTGAACCCGATCGTCGGCTGGCTGCTACGTCAGCAGCTTGAAGAACATCAAAGCTAGGGATATGTTGATGAACAGCACCAGCATCACGAGCTGCTGGCGGGAGAACCAGTCCTGGAACAGTACGGGACATAACGTTAAGCGTTTTTCTTATCGTGAGCCGTTCAGCTTCGCCGCGTCGCGCATCGTCGCCGCGCGCCGCTCGGAATCGGAGCCAAGAATTCGGCGAGGACGCCGAATGATTCATATCGACGTTACATGAGCAAAATTGTCTCCGCACGCGTAACATAACGCAGCGGCCGCTGCGCGTTTCTGTTACACTTCGTGTTTTTTAATCTCAAATATTTCGATTTTTATCATCGTGTTTTATTGAGATGTCGGGAGAGTACGAGAGATACATTTATTTCGATTCCCTCGCACGACTGCGAAACTGGACCGAGCGAATGTTGATTTCTAGAACCGCGCGAGAACCTATTATAGAGTCGTCGCGTTTCTCGCGGTGCGTTATATTTTTGCGTAGCCAAGCCGAGACGCAGGACTCGATCCGAAATAAACCGTAACACTCTGCCAAGTGCCGCTCCGTGTTCTCTCTTGTTTTTATGAACGACCGGCGGCGGCGTCGGATTGACGCCGCGCCATTGTCAACATCGACAAGTTTCGACGGTCAGGTAGAGACACGGGGGATACTCACTTTAACCTGTGGACTGACCAGGTACAAAAGCGGGTTTGCTCTGAGCCTCTCGCTCTCGTCGATCTGTCTGCGGATCTCCTCTCTCCTCATGCTGCTCAGGATACTAACTTCTTCCCTCGACAATGGTGCCGTGGCTGTGAGCTGGATCGGCTGTGCCACGTCCGGCAGTGACTTCTTTCGTTGAAGGGGCATTGCCGCCACCGGCATCGCCTGCACGAAGGAAATAAACGAGAAACAAAAAGAGAGAGATGGGCCTCGAGCGATGGATGCAAATTACTTATCGACACTATGTACATTGTATGTTCAACGTCATATATAGCGTCAAACGGGTATACAGCGGAAAGAGAATAACGGAGTTATTATCAGGCAATAGCAATTACTTCTGAAAGTGTATTTCTTACAGGGAATAACGTTAAGTTAATTACTGGGTGAGGTCACGTGTTGGTTAATTTAATGAAACATCTATTTTTAATAAAGTTCAACGTAAAGTCTAAGATCGGTTTCGTGAATGCGTCAAGTTTATTGATGTGTATAACTCCAAAATTTGTCTTACTCTCTTTTAAATCTTTTTCAATTTTTAGCAATTTTTAGCATTTGACTCGAGAATCAAGCGAACTAAACGTAAATTATCTGATGTGTTTGAAAAATTTTATTTATAAAGGTTTTTTCTTTTAAATTCACAAAAACTGCTTATTTTTTCCGCTCTGGGTGAGAAAACTCTCTTAAGCGAAAAATTGTACTCTATTCTATCCAAGATTATTAACCTTTGACATGGTCCCATTTTACTTTTTGAAGCTTTCGTTTTATATCAGAGCTGTATACACAAACGAGTGTTTCTCTTGTTCGAATTTCTGTTTGTTCGCTTGCGTGACGTCAAAAGTTAGACGGCTCTGTTTTATATCACTCTGTGAAGCTACCATTGAATTTTCCACTATTGACTATCCAGACAATTGAATTTTTTTGTTCAATCTTCTACACGTAGCCAATTCACAGCTATGAGCGTAGAATTATATAATCACGATTCGTGTTAAAGAGTTAAATTCTTTCAAGTTTTATCTTCTTAGTAGCATTCTTCACGAAACCGATTTAAAATTAGTTAGAGCGTCGAATTCCCGTAATTACGTGTTTTGTTAATTCAGCATTTCATGCGAACGCAACGGGTGGCAGGAGAAAGAGTACGAATGGAAGGGAGGGTCTTTGGAGCCGTTCCAAACCCAAGAGAGACGAGGTTTCGAGCACCGTGGTGCAAGGGCCGAGGAGTCGAATCTCAGCCAAAATGACTCGTCGCGTCGACCTTCGCATTCTTATCGCACGATTAGATAAATCGATTTTTCCAAAGCCGTAGCTTTAAAGGAAGACTTATCCGTTAAAAATAAGATTTTAGGCAACAAGTAACGTAATTAATTTCAGAATTGCAAACTTTGACTCATAAAGGCGTTTTGTAGGGACGTTCCCAACCCTTTATTCAATTCTCATCCAATACTACCCTTCTCGTAAACCCCACTCTACTCGTAAACCCTCGTTTTTCGCTTCGTCGAGCGTGCGTTGTCGCTAAACACAATTGATTCCATCCCTGACGATCGCGCAAACAAACATTTCTTCCCGTTCATTATCTATCTGTTGCGTTGTTTTTTTTCCCCCTATCTCCACCCCTTACTTTCTTTTAAGGAGAAAATTCTCGTTACAGCCCACACCCTGCGTGAACTTTCACGCAGAACGTGAATTTGCTCTGCGTACCTCCACGGGAGGTGCGACGATCCAGGACTCCGAGGCCCGTCTGGCCATCAGAGCGGGGCTGCATAGCAACGCCTCCTCCTCCTCGTCCTGCTCGATCCAAAACATTTCCGTTCTCACGATGACTCGCGGGTACTCTCAGAGTACATTAAAATCTTTTGGGTTCTTAACCACCTGCGAAGAAGAGAATCATTCCCGTTCACTTGGCTCAATTTCTCTTTTCTAAATTGCACTTTCGTCCCAGTGCACACCTGTCGATTCGATAAATTTTTCTTTAAAATTTATAGTGAACTCACAGCTCGCGTCGTTGAACATGCCCAGTGATGGTACAAGCAATTTTCTTCAATTTTCTTCAATAATCGGTATTATTTGCAAGTGAAACCAGGTGCGTGTACCGTGATTAAAGCTTACGGTTATAATTATTAAGTTGTTATTAGACTGTCACTTTTGTACATCGAAGAAAAACCAAGCGAACATTGATGTGACACTGTTCTTTTCGAATCCACGGTACGTTAAGTCCGAGGGATCATTCCGGAAGCAATAACATAAACCAGCTGGCGCTTCCGTTCACACCGGACTTTCTCTTTCTTTCTTTCTCTCGACCGGAAGTGCCTTCTGAAACTGCGCGAGCGTCTGTTCGCATTCGAGGATGTAACCCGTTCGTGCTTATCTCTCGGCCATTTTTCGACGATTTCCGGGGCCAAAGGAGGCGAATCGAAGTGTGAATTACGGATTCGCAGCCTCCCGGTAAGGAAGCCGGGCCGCAGACTGAACGGCCCTGGCTAGCACGACCGAAATAGAGCGATGCCCCACTATCTTCGAAATAACTTCGCCGAGCGTCGCGACGCCCGTGGAGATCTGCGTCGGGACGCTGCCAGAACTCTGTCGATCCTCGCAGCTCTGTGATTTACGAGGCTGATTTACGACAGCGGATATGGCGTAAGAAAAGATTACTCGAATCTCAAAATTTGGCCCATAATTTTCGGTTTGCTGACGTTTGACGAATTATTCGGTTTCTCGTTCGAAAAATCTATTTACAAGTCGCCATATTTTCCTAAATATGTTCCAAGTAACCAAAAGTATTTCGAAATTTAAAATATTAAAATGTTAGGAAAAAAAAGAATCCAAAACTCGGGCGAATTACAAGGTTTATCGTGCCATCGTACGAGACGTTTTTCGTGTGAAGCGCAAATCAAGTCCAAGTCCAGACCCGAATAATCTGACTCATGCATTTGGCATGCGCATATATACGGCGAGAGTTTCGGGATTTTCACGCGCCAAGAAAACGTCCGTCCCACTTATTTGCAATTTCTTTGTCTGTCATTTATCGCGTTGCGCAGCCCGCCCGTTGCTGCAGTTTAGTTAATCGTACCCGGCGAAGTAATTCGACTGGCATGGTGCAACGCTTTAATTTGCTTCGCTAATGGCGCGATTACCTCGGGGCAATTCTCTTATCGAATCGATTGTTTAATCCGGTTTAATTAATGCATGACCGTTAATGCTGTAATAATTTTTCATGGGAACAATTATATTCGCGTCGACACAAATTTATTTATACTCAATCAGATTAACATAACAATAAACAATGACGAATAATTAGTTTGCCGAGCGGTTTGTCACACTTGCCCGCGGAAAAGAAAACGTTAATATACCGTAACTTTTAAAGCTTCTGCGATGCTTTTGCACGTCGTTGGAAAGATACGATACTATACAGTATACCTCAAATGAGGCTTGACAAATTGTGAGAAATGATAATGAGGAAATTAATATTAAAGCCGGAATTTCCATGGCCTCGTTCACGAATTGCATACAATCGTACAGCCTTCATTGTTTGCGATCTTTCTCGCGAATCTCCATATTGCTTACAATTTCCATAGAGCTCGTTTAAATATTATGATTGCGCAATTGAATCTCAGCAGTACATTAACATCTTATTATGTGAAATGCACATACTTCAACAGCCATCAATTGTTTTCCAATATTCAACTCGGTATTGATTTTTTCGTCTTGACGAATATTACTAATAATTAATACTTAAATAGCTTTTGTGAAAAAAGTAATATAAATAAAATTTTAATTAAAATTAATAGCTTCTGTGAAAAAGTAATAAAGGCAATAAGAAGTCCGATTTACGCGATGCTCTTTAATTTGTCATCAATAACAGCTTATACATGATATACATAAATACATTCAGTACATCGAATCAACGTTTGCAACGTCGTTGTTTGGTGAACGGAAATTGGTACAATTTCTACATTAAGATCGACTTTCTCCGGAATGTAATCTGGAAATTTACCGAGTATGTACATTATCTATTTCGATCCTCGTGTCTCTGATCTTCTACATCTACGACTACATATCTACAAATAATGGTGCGTCACGCTATAAATAAGAACGTGATTATATCTGACTCGTTAAATGTCTAGAAAAGCTCTCGTAAGGTCAAACAGAACAACGCTTTTCGCAAGGTTGGCACTTGAGTGCGAGATTAAGAAAGGTACTATTTTCAACGTTGACGGAATGTCGATGCTTCCCTCCGTGCTACCTCTCTTCCCGAACAGTCGCGTGATATCATACTATACTTGAAATTCGTCATAAGCGAGTAACTTGTGAACACATGGGTAGATTAACGGCTTAAGTCAAAATTCAAGTGTTTGTTTGGGAATGTTGCATTCGGAGTTGCATTTGCGCGCCATTGTTGCATTTTATGCGGACCCGCACAAATCGTAAACCCTTTCGCTCCGCATTTTTGTGCTTTTGTGCAACCGTCATTATTGTCGAAACCATGATTTGTGACTTAAGGTGTTAACGCAGATTATATTGAATATCTTGAATATCATTAAATCGGCCCTGTATGAAAATATAACGAGTATATTCCTTCATAGTTTAATTAAAAACTTCAAAGAGTAGTATCTTGTTTGTGCGATCTTCAATATAATTTCTATCGATTAGAATTTCACATTCCGATTGCATAGGCCGGTTAAGAGTTAGGCTCACAGTTACAAGTATATCGTTGGCAAAATTGATCGTTAAAGGTCTGCTTTTAATCTTATTATTGTACATAATTTCGCCATATCGTCTGCTCATAAATTCGAGTATTAGCCTTATTTACACATGCAGGGAACATACTCAATATGTAACCTGGACGTCTTCCTGTATAAAGAATCATCGTATAAATGTATTTAACACAGGCGGTCATAAAACTCACGTTTGCAGTTCTCTCTTTCTTCTCGACCGTTCATTTCTTTCAGTATATATAAAATAAGCTTTCGCACTTCGCACTTATCTTTTCCTTCGCGTTAACAGTAGGCGGCAAATTATTCTACGCGATGATTCATAGGCGTGCGCGACGTGCGTGAAACAAGTAACGTACTACAATATAACGCCCGTACATATACCTATGTGTATCGGCAACTGGCAACGGCGACTAACATCGTAGATTTAATTAGGCTCCTGCGTGCTTAAGGCTCATTTCGTATCGAACGTCTCTCCCCCGCGATTTACTTTCATTTTAACAAGTCCCTGTCTGTGCACATGGCGCCAAATATATAGACTCGAATTCACGACAAGCATGCGTTAGAAAAACAACGTCTCCAACCAGAAAACAGGAAAAAGAAGCGGCGTGGAGGTGGTAGGTATATAAGTGAGTCTCTACTCTCTTTTGTAAAGCTCGTACGCGCCTCGTACGTTTGCGATCTCAATGCGTAATAATATCTAATTAGCAGTCTCCCTCTCTGTAATAGCAATACTAATATTTGATAAGTCGTAAGTGTGTAAGACCATTTGGGTTGTGAGCCTGAATACAGCATAGCGAAATTGAACTAGAGCGATATCTGAGAATGTAAATTGAGTGGTATCGATCGGTCGAATAATCTAGGCGAATAATCTAGGAGAGGTGGCTATAGCGAGAGGGCTCAGAAGAAGGGTCGAAAGAGGCTTGAAATATGGTTAAAGAGGGTTAAAATAGAATGGAAGAGCAAAAATGAATGGTCCCCGCCTCCACGCCGCGGGCTAGGCTTACCTTCCGAAGTCCGTTAATTAGCTCGGTTAATGGACGTAATAAGCGTGCGCTGACTTATAGCTCAGCTCCGCGCAAATGTTTACGTTTCGTATGTATATATATATATATATATATATATATATATATATATATATATATATGCACGCATGCAATTAACGTAGATTGCTTAATGCTTGATTCGAATAGCTATTCGCAAAGAAGAAAAAAAAAGATAAAAAGAAACGGAATGTCACATGTAATGTAGAACAGAATTGCGAACAAAGATTCGTTTCGCTTTTTCAGCCGCTTTACAAAGTGGAGAGCCAACTCGCATATCACTCCGATTTAACATAGTCGGTACTGTGCAAATATCTATACATATACCTATACATACATCGTACATATACACAGACATGTACGTTTATGCTCGTAAGTTGTTTATACTATCTGCGCGAATTAATAATCTTATTTAAGTATAGAGTGTACCGTGCGGAAAAAAAATAAATCGGAGGGCATTTAGTTGCTTCGTCTCTCTTGTTGAAAGGAACTGTACACAGTGTTACATTTATTGTTCGTTGAACTGGTCCGTCGACGATCTCGCATGTTACCCAATGAGCGCAATAGATCGTATCTCGAATTGATACAATGAGGCGACGTCGTCGTTGCCAATCTACGTTTCCAAACACGGTTTGCGAAATCCACAAATCGCTCTAACACGCGTAATTCCGTTTCTCAACAGCGTTTCCTAACGACAGCGATCCTCTTTCGTGACCAAGACGAAACACGATCTAAGATATCTCGAGAATCTTTAAGCTCTCTACCATTTCTTGTCGGCTACGTTTTGATCGTCGTTTATTTAATCCTGGAATTAATTCATGCTCTCTTTATCATCATCAGCCGCGATATCTGTTGCAATAAATTTAAATAGATTATACTATCTGCCTGCACTCTGGAACTCGTTGCGCAAGTATTTGTATGCTATTGATTAGTGCACGCTATTGATAAATATTAATACGCAGCATCAACACGAATTTATTCCAAGATCAATCCCGATGATCAAAAATTGACGATAACTCTAGATTGCTCGCGTGAGTGAACAAATCGTGTCACTCACTCGGCTCGCAGTGTTCCCATAGAAAAATAACTCGGTCTCCCACAAATATGCATTGCTCATCTCGAATGCGCTTCCTTCAACCGCGACTCTATTAATGAGCGTCCTTTATTGTTCGACATCGCGGCGAAGTTAACAGCTAATAGCGATCTACACCAGGTACAAGTGTCTCCTCCATCAAGCGTTACGTGTTACGTCCCATAACATAGCACCAAAATTTTTCACGAAAAATGTTATTAGAAAATTCTCTCATTTTCGTATAAGGCCCCGCTCTGGAAACCTGCCCCAAGTTTTCATCAAGTGAACGTGCGTAAACTGCGAAAATCCAACCGGTCCGACGAGAACCAAACGTGTCGGTTCTAACCGCGAGCCTGCGCTTCCGCAGTTGCTTTAACCATATAATTAACTATTCGGACACGACGTTCAAGCCGCCCAATCGCGTCTTTGTTAGTTAAGGTAACATCGGACGATACAGAGACTCGTAAATTCATAGAAAAATATCGTCAATGCGTGCGTTTGAAATTGCCCCGAGACAAGATTGGTTATATCGGAACTTAATTCGTTCTGAACTATTCAACGCCGGGGTGAGTTGGGCGGAAACGGCGACCGGGGTTGTGCGCGGATTGTAATTTCTTATTATTCCGATTTGGCTCGAATTGCGACGCGAGCCTCTCGAAAGCTACGCTTCCTTGCCAACCGCTATTGCATAACATCGCTCTGTATACATATTTTATACTTATACTCATAGGGTTGCGCGGCCCTTTGACGTTGCGGCGAAGGCGGGGACCGTCCGGCCTGCTTCCTGGGATGGCATGCACAGAACACAGCACAAAACGCCACACAGTTACACAGAGAGACAAATAGAGACAGAGAAGAGAAGAGAAGAGATACAGATAGGTAAGGTAGGCTAGATAAGAGAGGCGAGTATGGTGAGAAAAATCTGAACGAGGAAAAATCGGGAGAGAGAATGGGGGTGCGTGTCGAGAACGCAGGCGAGGTGCAAGAAATATATCATAATAAAAAAATGCAGTATAAAGGGCGAGGTGATTATAATCGGGTTTATGAAAATAATTCCGGAATTGTTTGTCTGGAATTCGCAGCAGAATGACATATTAAACTAATATAGCGTATTTTTGATATCATTTTATGGCAGTCCTAGTCATTAGATTATGTATAATAATAACCGCCGGACATTAATGAATAATCGCTTGCGTTATTATATCCATAATTGGCCGGAGATTATTATTATTCATAATTCACTGCGATTATATACATAATCGCTTTATCAAAATCTTCGTAATAATGCGAAACGAGAAACATTTAAAAGATGACTTTTAATCGGGATTTCAAGAAGTCACGTAGAATTTCGTTAAATTCCTTTTGTCTGTCGCTTTCTGCTGCGAGGAGAAATTTAAATCTAATATCGTTCGATTTATACGTGCGATACCTTCTTGGGAATCATCGTAATAATATCGAACGATTGTTATCTTGTTTAACGCATAATGACCGTCGAAGTTATTTCCGATGCTGGTCTTGGAAAGGCGTCCCGTTTCGTTTCTTGGCAGAGTGAACGCCAAACAAATCGCTTCGCCGAATTGCATTATTTTTCCCCGAATCTTTGTAATTCGCGAGAAATTGACATCAAAATTTCATCCGCATGAGAAGTTGAAATTCGTTGGAAAAATGAACGTCGCGATTCGTTCCAAGTGAATAAGCAACGATAAACCGTATTGAAAAGATAGCTGTGGCTCTAGAAATGTCGGTGCAACGCACGGTTCAAATACAATGAATAAAAATATTTACATAGGATGAATATATAATTTAAAAATGCTGTCTGTCGATGACGTCAATGCACGAAATGTCAGAATCCTCTTTATGGAAATTTCTGTTTGACTCGAATCGTCGATATATCTATAAATATATTAAAACAACACTCGATCACAATATTGAAAAATGAGAATTGGTTCTCTGTATAGAACAGATATCTGTAGAACCGACACATTCGCAACTTCTTTTTCGAGGTGGGTGACGTAAGTGCCAAGACGTCCTCGGTGCATAAAGAATATATGGGTGCACGTACATATGCTGCACGTGGCGAGGGTATGTCTATATATACATATACACATATATGTGTATATATATAAGATGGCGAAGAACAAACGTGTGAGAAAATAAGGACTCACCTTCGGCACAATACCACCGCCGCCGCCACCGGACGGTCCGCGAGTCGGAGCCACGTAGAGGCTTTCGGTGCGCTTAGGCTGCCCAGGACTCGGCAGAATGTCCTGTCCAAGGCCACGGTTTTTTATGAGAGCCCCCTCGAACTGACTGGGCGTCGGCGCGTTGTACGTCGGCGTCGCGGCGCCGCTGCCTATCACGGAACCGTTCAGCGGCGTCCCAGCTCGTATCGCGCTCGGGGCTCTCGTCGATCTGTTGATCGCAAAATAAAATGATTATTTTCAACGAACCGAGATATTTCAGTTCTTTCCTCCTTCTACAATAAGAAAAAACATTTACGATACTCTACAAATTTCTGAATGGAGCTCTAAATTTAGATCTTTCTACGAACCATGACGCGTATACGATATCGGGCGGTAAATAAAACAAATGTTTTTGAATGTTAATCGATGTGCCGATTCAGATGTTACTCACCTGTCGAGCATGTCCGGAGGTGGGTTCGATATGGTTTTGTCGACGGATGGCTGTCTCGATCCAGTCAACCGGGAATGCGCTCTGGCATAACGATCTACGGAACTGTCACGACTAGGTGGCCTCTTGTAGTGGTCCAGCCTACAACGCAATAATCGCTTAAAATTCAATTCGTCACATTTATAATCTCAAACAGTCAAACTATCTAAAAATGTTCTGAAATTTGCAAAATGCATCTTATACAACGTTGATTCGTTTTAAATATGATATCGAATAAGCTACGGTGTGTTGAAAGTTATATAGAAAATTTACTAGAAATATTAAAATCTTTTTAAATCGTTGTGTACGTTTGGTTGCACAAAAAATACGTCGGACCTGTCGTTTAGCGTTTGGCCAATAGTGCCAGGTCGATCCTGAGGACTCAGGACTCTACTATTTCTTCGTAAACTCGTGGAGCTCGGCGGCCTCGCCGCATCCATGATACCATCAGGCTGATACTGCGACGGATGCGTTTGTTGCGCGTACATCGACTGTGAATTGTACTGATTCATCTGGCCAGGCCCATATTGATTGGGTATTGCCGTCTGAAATCAATTTCACGTTGTTCTAAGAGTTTCTCAGGACTACAATAAACTACCAATTGTGATTTTAATCGTAGAACAAATACATGGATGGGTCATATTTCAAAATGTTGCTCAAAAACTATATTATTTTTAAAACATCTACGTTTCTAAGATAAGCGATACTGCTGTGAAGAATCCTGTATTTGTTCGACGTTGCTAGGGGCTACCAAATTTTGCAGGCTCATCGATTTGATGAGAGTAACGATTGATTGTACATTTGATCGACAAAAGAAGCATTGGGCCCCTATTTAGTTGTTGCATCTACCAAGTTTCAATTATCTTCAATAATAGCGTTACTCGTAGCTCAACTAGTTATCACCACCCAGAACAATACGGATGTAAACAAATATAATTAAATGCTGAAGTTGTCATATTAGTCATTACTGTCATTAGTATTGCGACACTATTAAACTCGCCGGTGAAACTAGACTCGCACGCAGAAACTCATTGAGTTGCTTACACCATAAAACTGCGCACCAAATTGATTCATTTGGGCGAATGTCATGGAATCGTATATAAACGGTGGTCGCGGATACGAGATCTAGAAAGAAACAGAGAAAAACACGGCATTGGCATAGGCACACAAAAGCGGTAAATCGTAACGAGTAAATCGAATTATTGCGCGATGTGGAAAGCTGCGTGCGCGGAAGCTAAGAAGGACCGAGGGGAGCAACACTGCGAGTCACCTGCTGATTGGGATAAGCCTGCAAATTTTGGAAGTCGTGCGACCCGATTGGTTGCTGCTGTTGCTGTTGTTGCTGATAATCGGGGTATTGCTCAACCTGAGATGGATTAGCCGGTTGATACTGGTACGGATTCTGGACGAACTGCTGATGCTGCTGGCTGTACTGGTTTGGTTGGTACTGATTCGGTATACTGTTCGGGTAGTGGCTCACTGGAGCCGGGTTCTGTGACTGCTGCTGATACGAATATTGTTGGTACGGATTCTGACTGGTCAGCAAAGTCTGCTGTGCGTTCACCTGGTGCGCCAGTGGTACCTGATTCGGTATTTGGTTTTGCGGCAGCTGATTCTGCGGCAACTTCATACTGGTCCTACGTATCGACTGCATCACGCTGCTGGCGGTGTTATTCGCCGCGGATGCTGGCGTCGCGTTCGTCATCGTCGTTGTCGCCGTCGTTGTGGGATCGACGGCCAACGAGGCGCTCTTGATCGGCGTGGCGCCGCTGGGATGGTCCACGCTGGTCGTCTTGTGCAGGATGCTCTTGCTCGGCACAGAATCCTGCGGCGGCGGAACATACTTGGGTATCTCTCTGTTTCGCAACCTTTCTAAACCCGGCTGTCGGAAATCCGGCGCGAACTGCCTCGCCGTTTGCTGCGCTAGTTCGGAGTCCTCTCTGGCATGTTCGGCGGCGATATCGGCCAGCTCTGCCTTACCCCGCGCCGTCGCCGTCCTGGAGATAGCGATGTCGGCTTTTTGCAGGGCGATCTTGCTCGCCCGCTGAGCTGCACTTACCGCCGCCTCTATCCTTTCACGAAACTTGGCGGACCTGATCACGAAGAGGTGCTTCTTCTTTTGGCTGGTAATAAGCACATTGTTCTTGTACTTTCCCTCCTCCTTGTTGCCGTCGCGGAACGTAGTGACACCGTAACCATATTTGCGATTGTTGAACCATTCGCCTTCATATCGCAGCCCGTCACTTCTCTCGGATATGCCGAAGCCGGTCCTCTTATCGTTCTTCCATTCTCCTAGGTACGTCTCGGTTACCGACGCGTCCATCTGTTCGTCCTGTGAATCGACGTCATGCGATTAACTACGCGTTATGCCGATAATTCTTTTTAATTTTAAAACTATGTTACAAGTTAACTTTATTGTCAACGCTATACGCGTCTCTTGATATAAGCGGTATAAGCGGATTTAACAGTCGCGGAGAAACAGAATTAAAATCCGATTAGAGGTTTGTCGAGTCGCGAAGTAGCTGAGGAACGTAAGTACCGTGACCCACCTCGATGACAAAGGACGCATTACTGTCTGTGTGAACCGAAGCCGAGGCTTGACTTTGCGAGCTTTCGGTCGACATCCACGATGCCGAGCTTGCATTACTTCTGATACTACCACCAGTGCCGCGCTTCTCCAAATCTCCCGTACTCCTCTGCTTTCGTATCTTGAGACCCTATCGACAGAATGTTCTTCTAGATAATGCTGCAATTTCTGTTTAATAATCTCGTGAACGGTTCTTCGCCCCTTCGCGAGAGAGACGCCTTACCGAGAGAATACCCTTCTTCAGGGACTTTTCGGTGAGACTCTTTCTCCGGGCGGGTGGATCGTCGCTCCTCGCTTTCAGGACGAAACCCCCCCGGCTGTCGTCTACGCGTCGATCTCTCCTGTCGGTGGGTTCCGGCGTTGGGGCGACCGCTGGTCCTCCGTCGGCGCTCCTTAACGACGTCAAGGACGCTCTTACTTGTTTCGGTGGTTTGTAGTGGCTCGCCAAACCGAACGGCGCGCTCGCCCTCACCCCGTATCCGTGCCGCATGCCGCGAAGCCATTGGCCTTGATAAGTACCTACAAGATCATCCATGTAACGCAACAGAAATAGAATCGGGAGTTGAAGGCGGAACGTTCCATTGGCAAATTACACGCCACCCTGTCCATTAGGACTGATGGAATTATTTTTCATAGAGCTAACACATAAATCTCTCCACGTGATTTAATATACTTTATTTCGAGGTTTTCAAGTATTACATTGAGGCGAAAGTTTTATCGTCTCTCTATTACATTTTGCATTATATATATAAGTTAGATCTCCGGAGTTCTTTGAAAAAAGATGATTGAAAACATTTATTTTCTCTTTCTTAATTAAAAAAAAATTTTATTGAAATTAACGATTTCGCTTCAACGCGACGTTGTTAACTTTATTTCGAACTTTATTTGACAGATGAGATGATAAATCTTTCGCATCAGGTTAATAATGATCGATGATCAAGTCGTCATTGTTCGATGATGATAAAGATGAAACTTTTGCAAAGGTCAACATCTTTTGGGGTAATCGAGCGGAAGCGCGAAAAATGCGAAAAATTTGCCGGCAATGCGTCAAAAATCGGAAGTGGCACGTCAGTCGATTACGACGAATCCCCGGGGTTGCCTGCACTCAGCAATAAGATGTATTGTTTTTGCCAAAACGTGATCGTGTTTCAAAATGTTTCGCGTGAGTCACGATGTACGGGCGAGCGGTTACGCGCGACCCGCTCGGGGATGGAATGCGTCCAGTTGTGCGTGTGGGTGCGTACATTTTCGGAGAACGTGTGAATTCCGAATCGATGGAAAAAAAACCACTGGAGGAATTCGACACAAATTCCGCATGAAAGACGCATAGCGCGAATGGACGCGTGATTAATTCGTTCCGCGAATTAACGACGTCGCGCTTGTTACTTTCACGATTTACGTATATAGTTTGTATTTTTAATAGCCGTCAATATTGCATGCTATTACGTATTATCGCCTCCATCTTCTAACAAGTCATCGTCAGACCTTATCAACAGCACGCAAACTCAAGCGTTCCGCCGTGCATACTGCGAGCGCAGACCGTTCTTACGAAAGAGTTTATTCCATTATTATTCCATTCCGCGTTGAATAGCTCGCGTCCTCTGGACAAGGTATTGCGGTCGCAGCGAAAAGTTTCGGCCCGACATTTATTGGCATGCAAACCAAGTCGCTCGTATGCATCGCGACGACGCGTTGATGTTTCGGTTGCACTGGAACGGGACGCATCACGTTTTTCTTCTCTGACACAATTTAGCCGTGAATGCATACAAGGTGTGCCGTCGCCGTCGCCATTCATATTAATAGCCGATCTCTTGAATTTTCGATTTTGATTATTTTTTTATTTAATGTATATTAAAAACATAAAAATGAATAATAATAGAAACGAATAAGTTTTTTCTCAATGGTCTGTTTAACGCAATCCTTTTGATTTCAATTGATTGATTTTACTTCAGGAATCTTTATACAAACATGTAAATATAATCTATACAATATAATGTATAAACTAAATAATATTAAACAAGATATCAGAAATTGGTTCATTTCTACTTGTCAGTTAACATCGAATTAATATCGACAATTAGAGAACTTCCCTCGTGAACGAGGGTCTTCTGTCGAATTCTTGCTTTGCAAAATTGCACGTAAATTCAATTCGTCAAGGAATCTGTCATTAGCAGGCACACTACGATGTTGACGGGATACCCTATATACGGCGACGCCAGGCGTCTCCCCTCTCTTCGCGACGACAGAATATTATTTCGCTAGCGTTTAAGCAAGTGGGTCACGCGGCGGTTCCCGGCGTTCACACAAGACGCCCAATGTACACGAACCCTCGAAATTGCCGTCGCGGCAGCGGCGGCGGTGCCAGTCTGAATGCATACCTCACGTTTTCAATTAATTTTTAGGCACGGCCGTACACCGTCGTGAAAAGCGCACGAGCACGTGTGTGCGCGTGTAAATGTTCAAACATTACGCTCCTCGACTATTCACAATAGCGAAATCCTTCTGCATTATGAGCTACCTCGTCGAGTCGAGTCGAGTCAGGGTAATGAGTTTTTACTCGGCGATTTTCTCTGAAAGATTCGCACGCGCGTTGCCCACGCCATGAATTATTCTTACGGCGCGAAAGAGGAAGTTGTTTTTTCATTTTCGAAGAGAATTATTATATAAAAGTTTCTCAATTACTTTTTCCCTCCCCTCGCTTTCGATTTTCCATTTCGAGGATAAGCGCAATAAATTCATTTTATACTGACGTACATATACGTCCTCTATTAATTTCAGATTTTAGTACATATTTATATTTACAACGCGCGCGTATCTCTGTAGTTTTGCAGTACAGTATACATTTTCTTCATAAGCTCTCCAGTTTGCCCTGGCACAGTTAGAACGTTTCTCTCTCTCTCTTTCCTTTTTCCTCTTTTTCTTCATGCAAAAGATTTATGATTTTAAGTTCGCCGTACGAATCTATGGATCGATTTAGGAGACATCCACTTTGTGCAGACCGTTCGTGTTATCGAGGTCAGTTCGGGTTGTCAGCCGCGTGGAGACACAGTCTAGCACGAGGTCCCGGGGTCTTTTAACGAATTTCGAACAAACGTGGCTTTCGAACAAGACGCCGCCGAGTCTGACGAAGACATTAACCGAATAGCACTACATAGTAAGTACATCGCGGAAAAGTGGATCGCGCCATAATATATCGATTCGCGTATCCGTCAGCAACGACCCAAATTAATTATTGTTGAGCTTCTAATTCTCATCGTGTTAATCTGCGCCACGACTGTCGACGGTGTTCTCGTTAAAAATCGTTCAATAAGCGAATAGTTTAACTTCGTACAAATTATCCAGCGATGCGGATCGTCGCGGAAGTTTCCCCTCAATCGGATCGATCTCATGCGAATCAATTATGAATCAGGAAATATCGTTTCGAGTTGATATTTGAGTACCCAATGACATTTATTTAGCATACATTCCACGATGCATTATTTTGTAAATTGTGTTTAGTCAGGCGTTGTTTTTTTGTATTTATTACACTTGCTGCAACGTGTGTGGGACGATCGATAGTCCCCACAAATTTCATTTCCCGGTAGACTACTGGTAGCGCAAATCGAGTTTAACATAGGACGAGTTTAACATGGAATAGGGGGGGGGGGGATCATCCTGGCATATATCTGTCATGTAGAAGGCACGAAACGGGAGCCTTTAACCGGAGCGTGGTTTCTACCCGTCGATATCCAACGTGAAAAATAATATGCGAACTTGGCGTTTCAAAATTTATCGCCAGCGTCTGCTGGCCATTATCCAATATGCGTCCGCTTTCCTTTTAAAACACGAAGAGTCATACGGCTACAGATGACCGGACCTTTTGTTGGTGGATTAAGGCCGAGGTAGAACAACCGTGAGGACAATCTCTGGAGGGTGAACCCAAAGACGCCGTACGGTCCTGATTCGCTACATGGCACTGGCTAGCCTGCCTGAAATAGCACGGCCATCTTCCGAGATGGTGGTGGGTTGCACGTGCATCGAGACGCATCTCGGTGTTGGTGAGAATTGGCCGTGCGAGCGTATTTCGGTCCGCAGCCTCCACCAGATCGTCGCAAACCACCCTAACGGGTCTGTCGGTCGTCCCAACTTTTATGTTACGTCCCTCTGTCTGGGGAGGGTGGCGGGAAATCTAGGCAATACACGTGTCTTTAAAAGAGAAAAGAAAAATAAAAGAAAAACCACCGGACAATATCTTCATCTATAATTCTACTTTTGCGTTGCCTCGTACATCGTACAAGTGGACTTTGCGGAGACTGTTCCACATCACGCGGCTCTTCGGAACTTGATGACTCAAACTCTATGATTATGAAATTTTATTTTAATATAATTTTTACTATATATATATAGGTATGAGATTAATATATTGTTACAAAAAATTACTATCTCTTTTTGTTTCTTTTGCGAGCGATCTGAATGAGGCGCGCATGAAATATGGAGCAAAACTATGCGCTTCCGTCTGAGCCTGGCCGTTTACGTTTACGGCGTAATTGGCGCTGGATAATATATACGTTTCGACTAAAACCCGTTTGTTTCGAAAAATATATGTAGCACACTACTTTTTTATTGATCACAATATTCGTGCGTCGTTGCATCCTATGTGGCTTCGATCCGAGCGCCATGCGTGCTACATATATGATTACATAGCTGTGCATTGGGTTGCCGAGCGTCGTTGCGATAACAAAGTGGCATACTTTTTCCTCGTCGCGCCGTCTGGCCACTTGGAAAGTTTACCGAAATAATACCACGATATTATCACAATTGGCCAAAAAAATTGAATTTCGCTTTTAAACCTCGCATTACGAATCGTAAAGTACGCGCTTGACAAAATATTGGTTTTGCGATTAAACGTAGATAACTATTAAATCAGACATATTTGCAGCTTTCGCGTTCGGTCTTTTCTCGCACCTATGTTATTGTCTTCAGATTCACGGCTGTCCTTGGCATTAATTAAAACGCCGTTTAAAATTTGCGTCGGCCTTTTTTTCGCACGCAACCAGCAGCGGCGAGCTCTCGTGTGACGTAAGGAGTGTGACGTCCGGGAAAAATCAGGAATAACAGCCGAGCTGTATAAAGTGGGTAAAAGCGGCTCATCAAGGTAACCCACGCCGGTATAATATTAACAGCTCCGTATCCCATATACAGTCGCTATTTGCATAAAGGGTTGCGGGTTGCGGCACGCTCGCCGGGGGCAAAAAAAAAAGTAGATTACGCGGCCTTCTGTTACAGGCACGCGCGCGCACGCGAAATTGTTCAACTCTCTCTGTTTCGCTTGTTTTTTATACGACGCAGAACGAGACGTCGCGGTCGTCCCCGTTGCATATACGACGACCTGGTCACTTATGTGATGACCTGTCGGACGATTCGCGCGGTGTAACTGAGTTACATGGGTCCTGGGGGTGCCATCTTTTTCTCCGTCGACCGTCGACCGTAGCGATAGTATATTGTAAACTATAATCGCCAAGGTCCCCCGACGGGACGTG